TGTTTTCATATGCTTAAAAGGTCTGGAAACGCGAATTATGAAACCAAGTGCATTGTAAGCTTTGTCAATAATATGTTCGATGTGCCGGTCAAACAGCAATTTACCGTCGTGTAAAACACCCAGGTCCCTAATCACACTAGTCGCCTGAAGACTACAACCTTTTAATTTGTATGAGAAGATAAAAATGTTGCGTTTCCGTGTAAAGGTGATAGAAAAGCATTTAGATACGTTTAAGTCCAATTTAATACGTTCACAATACATGTCTAATCTATCTAAATCTTCCTGAAGAAGTAACGCAGCTCCAACATTATTAATAATACGGAATATCTTCATGTCATCAGCAAACAATAGAAATTTAGAATTTAAAAAACAGGAAGCAATGTCGTTGATAAATAAAATAAATAGAAGTGGTCCTAATAACGATCCTTGCGGAACACTCGACGGGATATCTACCCAGTTAGAAGAACACCCATCTAGAACAACAGCTTGCTTTCTATTAGTCAGATATGATGCAAACCATTGAATAAGATTGCCACCTATGCCCAAACCTGCCATTTTGTATAATAATATTCTGTGATCTATTCTATCAAATACTTTAGTATAATTTGTATATATTGCATCTATTTGATTATTATTATCCATATTATTACTTAAATATTCATTAAAGATAACTAAATTGGTCGTGGTTGATCTACCTTTGATAAAACCGTGTTGCTCAAGAATAAGTTCATTTTTTAAACATTCGAATGTTTGATCAAAAACTAATCGCTCAAAGATTTTAGCTAGATGACAGAGCTTAGAAATAGGCCTGTAGTTTACAATATCATTTTTCGAACCTTTCTTATGTATTGGGGTAACGAAAGCGGCTTTCCATATCTTAGGCATTACTCCTTCTTTCATAGAACGCTGAAAAATTATGGAAACTGGTACCGTCAGCTCTTTACTACATTTTACCAAAAATAATGCGGGAAGAGTGTCGGGCCCAGCTGACTTATTAAGGTCTAGAGACTTCAGTAGTTCATGTATACGCTGAGCACTCAGTTTAACAGTTGATATGTCACACTTAGAGTTTGCTACTTTAGTGTTGTGGTAAGACTGAGGTTGGTTATTACTGCCTAAAAAGACGGAGCTAAAATATGAACTGAATAGCTGGCAGATACCTTCAGCCGAGTTGCTTGTGGTGGACAGATAGTTCATGGTCGACGGGTAAGAGCTACAACGGCGGATATTTTTTATGTATGACCAAAACTGTTTACGATTTTTTAAAATAGAATTTTCAACAGACACTATGTATTCCTTATAACACTTGTTCTCATTTTTTTAACCCTATCGCGAAGTAGTCGAAAAGAATACTCATCGGGCAGATTACCATATGTTTTAAATTTCTACAGCTTCCTCGACTGACAAAGCATTTGCCAATATTGACCAATCGGTTTGAGAAAAGTGATTACAAATTTTATCATAATCGGCTCGATTATACATATAAATATTTCGTTTAGGGATTGCTAAGCCATCCAATTCCAACAACGATGACTTAATAATGAGAGATTTATGGTAGGAATCTTCAGGCACTAAGGGATCATGGCATGTGCAGACAGACAGAATATTGTTACTCAAAACAAGGTCCAATATACCTCCAGCACTGTTTTTACAATAATTACATTGTTTCAAATCGCAGTCGTAAAATGTGTTAATTATGTTATTAGCGAGCAAATTTTTAGCATTTGAAGGCTGAAGGCCTTGATCTGTTGGCATCCATTGAATGTTGCTCAAATCAATAATCACTCAATAATCACCTAAAATTATACAAATGCTAAACTTTATTTTTTACACATAAGTGAGCGGTTCACTTATGTTTGAATTTATTTTAATGTTATATAATTATAACAATACAAATATGCATTAGTAGATATTGTGATTATATAAATATTTTTTACGTTTGCATTAAATGACTTAAAAAACTTCAAATGTAGTACCATCTTTATAGGTTGCAGACGGATAATTAACCATTATTACCTGTATCTTATGGGTAGTTTACCAAAAATTTTGTTAAATAACTGTAGCAAACTGGGTTTTCACAACTATGGTAGGACACACTTTTAGCCCTACGTTCTTGAAGCTCAAAATACGATCAAATCACCAGCTTGCTTTCAGATAGACTGCAGATGACGTCTTTGCCAATTGTTAATGTTATTTTAAAGGAGTATCGTATCTTCAAAATAGCGAGCAATGTCTTAACTGTCAGTTCCGAGTAAGTATAAACTTATAACATTACATCACAATCATGAAGTCTATCGGATAAAGTAAATATCTCTATATGATATATAGGTATAATATATTATCTCTGGCAAATGTTTTATGCTTCGGCCTAGTATTTATATTTACCTGCATAAACATACTTACAAATATTTTAAATTAGCGTTACTTAGGTACTCACTACTACTAGATATGTATTACTAGGTATGTATAAATAAAAATCGTTTTATTTAAGTACTTGTCATTTTAATACTATTTTTTGAGATTTTTACACAATATTTTACATAATCTTATTAATCCTAATTAATATTATAAATGCGAGAGTGAATTTGTCTGATAACGTCTTTGTATACGTCTTTTGATATTAGAGGTACAGAAATAGATATACTTACAGTTTCTTTAGTCCAGAAAAATGTTACGTTTGTTGTCTGTCATGGATACGTTTAATGGCAGTATACTCAGTTTGTATATTTACATTGTATTTATAAGAGAATTATTTTTATGTATTTTTTCAAATTATTTTACACTTAAAAGATTTAGTTATGGCATAACATTATTGGTTTTAGGTACTGAAACTCGACAAAGGTTTATAGTAGGTAAGTACCGTTAGTTCATTGTTCAGTGTTTAAGTGCTACATTTCGAGATTTCGAGATTTCGATAAAAAGACGTTTACTAATAAAATAGTTTGGGGCTATACTAGCTTAAGATAGCTTAGCATAATTATACAACTGTTATAAGTAAGTCTAGAGGCATCACTAATGCAGTGCAGTGTGTGCAAGACGTGTGCACTCACCTTAGCAGAACAAATAAAAAAAAATAGGAGCTAATAATGCATGCATACATCTTAAAATATATCTCTAAATATAAAGGTCTTTAACACCTGAACATATTATACAGTTTATATATCAGTTTTCAAAAGTAAGCTAAATTTCATAAATAACTTTTTGCGGAATATTTAACTTTGCGCTGCCTGTTGTATAAAAATATGTATAGTCATTTCAAACATCAACAAAAAATAAATCTACTGCACACGGATGGAACAAAGTATAGACATTCCTAATTTAAAATAATCTTAAAGTAAAAATAATGGTTCTTCTGCACTGTAGTAGTGCCAATACAAATAAAAGTAATTCACATTTTCTTAGATCAGCCGACTTTATCAACAAATTGACAGATCTCAATTAGTGTTATTTAATAAAAATTCTATCAAATTAAAATAGGCGGTTACTTATCACTGGTTCCAAACTATTTCCTAAGTTTTTTTTTTGTGTCCCACACATCATCATCATCAATAGCTTTTACTATTCCACTGCTGGACATAGGCCTCTCCTCAGAAAGGAGGTTTTGGCCTACTATCCTACTATGTGTCCCACACAATTTAATGTGATTATAAATATCAAAACTACTTCTACATTTATTTCGTTATATGATGTGCATGATTTGTTATACGTTACGAATGTGTACAAATGTTATAAATTAATGGTTCCTAGTATACTATAAGTTTAAGTAAGTAAAATCCGAATCCCACAAATCTCCATGCAATTACCATTATTTGGTTCGGTTAGGTTATTTTGACCCGTACAGTGTAAAAAATTATTAAATTATGTAAGCTATGCTATTTATACGAAGACACAATTTTTTTTAAATTGTATAATTAATAAATTAACATGTGGATTGATGAAAGCTTCAAGAAAAATAGACTAGTCGAAGTACTTATATATACACTAACGAAGTTGCGTGTACCAGCAGATACGAAGGAACAGTTAAGATGTCCAAATAACAAGTAGGTACCATAATTGATGATCATTAATAAATTCATACATAAGAAAAGTCTAAAATATTAGGACAATCTTTTGCCTTGAAAACTTGGATTGGAACACGTACATCTTTAAATATTCAAAAATAAATAAAACAATAATGTTAGAATGCTGCCAAAACAGCCATAAATATGTAACACACTGGGACAGTGAAATTTTAATGGAATAGGATTAAATAATATTAAGCTTAACTGGTGGATATAGCAATGAGAAACAATGTCTGCCTAGAACTCAGTTTTTTTTCGAATTTACCATTATAAAAGATTGTGTGATATATGATGCTGTCCGCAAATCTCACCTACGTGTGTGTGTGTACCCGGCCGTCGCGCGCTTCGCGCCTAGATAGCCTTAATTTCATATTTACCTATGAACCTAATAACACTTATATTTGGACATGTAGCTTGGATACTTTTAGTAATTATGTTTGTAACGATAATTAAAGACTTCTAGTTTTATTTTCTGTTTAGAAATTTTAGATATTCACTAAAATTGTATACTGGCTAAGTATTTGGACACCTAGGATGTGACCCTATTTATGACTGTATCTACTTATATAGTAATAATTTTATGCTAAAAATATTTACTTTATAAAAAATATTAAAAAAACAGGTACATTTTGGTTAATTTTCCTATTGACTAAAATCTTGATGAATAATTGGATCTTTTTATTCTCCTAAGTAGGCACATTAGGTTTTGCTTGAATTCCTATTTATATTTCTTTACGGTCCTACCCTACAGTATATCCTAAACGGTCTTGATTAATATGAAGATCATATTATCAAGTTTGCGGTCTTGAGCATATAATATAAATGGCAATTCTGCGGTTTTAAGCAAACTTGATGATGTGATCTTCCTATTAATCAAGACCGTATATAACTCTTGACCCACTTCAAACTTACATTTAATCATTCTGTTTAAAACACATTTTAATTAGTATATTCTTGGAAGCGTGTATTCCAGAAGATATGTATGAGAATACCAGTGATTGTAAGACAAAAGTAAAGAACAACCATCGACAAACACAGGTATTTTTCCCATTTTCTCTGAGTAAGATTTCTTAAAACACCAATTCCTACTAGCAAGCCTGAAAAAAAAGTTAAAATAGGTTAGGCATTTAAGTAATTACGTTAAAAAATAGCTTTTAAACAGAAGCGACGATAGCACTGCCGATGAAACGAACGCGCGAGAGTATTTCCTAACGAACCATAAACAACTTTTGCCAACCAAGAGAGCCAGAACAGCCGGATGGTAATACAGTTCCTGTTTATCTGTCCTACTCCAATCAATGTTGTTATTAGAAAGAAATACCGGGGCCCCGATTCAGTTAAATTGCATTGCGATTCGCAATTTTGAAAACGCGTGATTTTAAACCGCATGTGCGTTTTGGAAAACAAACCTACGACTAAAACTTTGGTATTCACTAGGGTGAAACCATTTATGAACCGATTTGGTATTATTTATAAAATTATTTTTTACGTCTCGTTGAGTCCTATTTAAATAATAAGAAATAATAATAGTAAGATATAAAAATATATAGTCAGCATAATGTAGGCCTATTGTAATCGGTGATACTTCATTAAAAGTTAATTATTGAACTACCTACGAAGTACAGGAGACCAATTGTGCCAATAAGAACGGTTAATTTACTCTAATGTATAAATACACTAGCTATTGCCCAAGGCGTCCAAGGCCACGCTCGTAAATGTCAATTTTGTTAATAAATTTGGCCGAGATAAATAGTAGCTTCTGTGCTATTCTAGACTATAGTCTAGGTATCTATGTTATAAATCTCGTCTACATCTAGATAGCCGTTTTGGCGTGATTAATAACAAACATGCTAAAGTTTTAAAAATGTCTAATTATTCTTATTGTTTAGTTATTATTATGGAATAGATAACTTAAAGAAAAATAGTTCTCCATATAAACTAACACCCCTTTAGTAGTTTTGAAAAATTAGTACTTCGTTTTTGCAAAACTCAGTACTAAGTTTTTATAACTACAACTTTTTTTTTAGTTACAAAATTTCATGCTTCTAGACCTAGCAGTTTCTTTAGATATTATACGTACTACAAATTTTACAATGTTTGTTATGGTAAAATTTTGTGATTCACTGGTAACCTTCTAACTCAGCTTAGTTTGCATATCATCGGCACTGAAAGTATATAGTAGTAGTAGAATTCCAACGGCAGTGTACCGTAGTTTCGCGTTATAGCTGTTTTTAAGCCATTTTTTTTTTAAATCTCTTACCAGCAGCTACGCCAGCCAGGTGTGGTACAAAAGTGATAAAGCTGATTGATTGCAGGAAGTTGAGCCCAAACAGTACTATAAAAATTAACAGTTGGATGACTACGCTATACGTTTTCATTTCTTTCCAATTCTGAAACATAAAATATTAGCATTGAATTAATAAGGCGTAAAACTCTACTAATAGCTAGTGATGGTCTGATGGTTAACTCTTACTTAAAAGATAAAAAAATATCATATCTGGATTAAAACATCTCAATAATTAATTTTCCCACTGTGCAGGATCTGGTTGAAAGTTTTCATAATTTAGTCGTAAAATACAGGTAGGCAATAAAATCTTCCGAATTGAACACTCATTTAAATGAAACAGAATATATTAAAATAAATAGCTACTCTCAAAACTAAGTATACAGTATGTATGTGTGTGTGTGTGTGTGTATGTTTTAGTAGTAGTAGTAAAGTATGTATCCAAGTATAAAATTCGAACAGGTACAATAAAAATTACATTCCAAATCCCAAAATAGTATAATTCATTTTAAGATATTGTATGTTGAATCGAATATCCAGGCACTAGCCATTTTTGTCTTTGTGCCTAACATGTATTTGATAAAATGTCTCAATAATAATAACACATTCCATATGACCGACGAGCGAAGTTTCTACTTTACAGATTTTATTAACAATAGTTAAATTTAATAGTCATTCATAACAGTGCTGCGACCTCGTTATTCATGAATACAGTTCTAAAACCACAGTTAAAATTATATGGTCACTTACCATAATAATAGTAGCAACATGAGCGGAGCTTAACGCATATACTCCTCCACTAGCCCCAGCTAGGATTGCTGAGGGATCAGTGATACTAGTAGCAAGAGAACCAGCCAAAACCCCCGCTAAGTAAATCAGCATGACGCGCCACCACCGATGTACTACTTCCAGTGGAAATCCCACGAACAGTTGAATAAGTAAATTGCTTATTAAGTGCAGTACACTGGAAAGAGACAAAGGGGATCTTTATAGTCTGTCTGGGAATTTATCTGTGGTCTGTGTTTTGCCATATGAATATAGATTTGGAAAGTTTTGTGTATTATCGTATTATGGTATATGTGGTACAATTTGCAATAATAGAAAATTCTATATTACTTACGGACACGAGACACATTGTTTTGATGAGAACTTTTCGTGTCATAATTGACTTGAATAATTAAAAGCAAAATTTACAAAGATAACAATAACATTTCTATCACAGCTTTTGATTTCTAAAACCAGACCAGAGATTTCAAAACAGAGACCCAATCAAACACGTATTATTATACGTGGTACTTAGTTGCAATTTAATTTAAAAAATTGTTAAGAATTCTGATGTTATCAAGACCGAATAGAAGTGAATCTTTTACGCTTAGTACCTACATATGCTTTACATTGCACTGTAAGACTTATGAATGTGAATAATAATTTATTCTAATGCAATAAGTCTGATTAGGAGCCATCCTAATAACTTCGGGCGGTCGTACCAAGTGAATGAGTGTATGTACTAACCCGTAATGTACAAGCATGTACGTTAGAAACCGCCACGCCTCTTCCCTCTTGTCGGGGTCGTAGATAAACCACTGTGCGATTTTTCCGTCGCCGTATATGTGTCCAAAGGCAGCATCAGAACAGAACAATACAACCTCCACTATAGAAATAAGGAGCATGACTACAGCAGGGGGCCAACAACTTCTGTATTGCTCTTCGTAGGTCCTACCTGAATATTAATAAGTCTGTGTTAAAAAAAAAAAAAACTCTTGATGTGTAACATGTTTCCTCTCGCGTTATTGCAATATGTATGATAAGGGACGGAAGTGTGTGATAGGAAGTTGGGAATACGCGCGCTAACTTATTTGACCAATGAGCGCGCGGCGCTAGAGTTGGCCATCACCATGAATAAGAGTAAGATATCAATTATGTTTTGATGTTCAAAGGGATCGATCACGTCATGAAATGTAAAAAATACACATCGTTTAAACAGAAACTAAACTAACTGTTTTTGTTTGTTTAGTCCCTGTTCACAGCAGCACTACAGTGATCGAGACATGTGATGTGACTGCAGTGATCGAGACAGTGCCGCATTTGTTCTATGGAGATATGACTTCGGCAAAACAATTATATGAACCATTTGAAACTAAATAAAGCAAGATAAAGATTTAGTTTACTTTAAAATTACCTGTGATCTGAACATGTCTTCGTGGAGGAATAACAATCCTTATGTAGTTCTCAAAATAATGCCCGAACACTGACTTCAGATCGGGATTTTGCATCATATCGACAAATTCATTATATTCCAAGTACCCAGACTTGTCATGGTCAGCCTTTTTCATAATGTCATCCACTAGATTATCGGGTAGATCGTGCGCATACTCCTTTGAATGGATGATGTTTTTAAGTTCCTCGTAAGAAATGCGGCCATCTTCATTTACGTCATACTATAAAGAGGAGAACAAAAGCCGTTAGTATCAGTTCTTAAATGTATATATACACTTCCTATGCCTATACACTTCACTAAATATAAATGATGTTAATAAAATTTTAATGTTGTAGGTCCATTCTAAATACCAAATGCCACAAAAGTTACGGGTAGAAAAAATATTGCTACTCTAGATTTCTGTAGGGTTGCAATCAGGTCACGTTGTTATTAAAGCTTTTGACCTCCTGATGACCTGCCCACCGTTCCTATCGTTCTATCGACACCATGCCTAACCAGGCCCAATCGGCGTCGGGGCGTTTTTTGTGCATCACAGATAGGTTTTCTAAGCCCCAGCTCTATTGCCCTGTAAGTGTTGTTTGTTTACGATCCTACCTAAAGCGTCTACGTAAGTTGACTGGAGAAACAAGCTGATAGGGTTTTCCTTTATTTCATATTCCCATTACGTATGTACAATTTATTGTCATTAAGTAAAATTTAAGTACGTATAATAACCACAGAGTTTATTTTGTGGTTAAAGACAAGATTGAAAGTAGGTCCACAAGATTTAGTCATGAGGTTTCGTTCTAACGATTTTTTCATATTAAAATAATAATATGTTTTAATTGGGACGTACGTTTAAGTTGTTATAATTTCGGGAATATCTACCATGTTATTTGTGGTTGACTCAGCTGTGATTGGGAAATGTATGTATGCAAAAAAATAGGTAGGCATTAACTTGACTGGCATGTTGGTCTAGTGGCTAGTGACACTGACTTCTAAGCCAGAGGTTTGATTTCCACCGAAATATACGGTTTTTTGGTAATAAGAAAACTGTTATCACATTTTGTTTTGTCTTATTTCCTGCCAACTATTCTTTTAATCTGACGTTAATATACATACGTATAAATATTAACATACATATCGCGTAAAAACTTAGATACAAAATGAAAAGGAATATTAAATTTATTCAAAATATATATTAATTTATTCAAACAGCTTAAGGCTTTCTCTATCAGCTTTAATTTTATTTTACTTCTAAGTATCAAATGTTAATGGTTGCCCTAACTAAGTCATTTGAATTCAGATGCTCTTAGTAATGTATATTCGTCAGACTATCAAAATCACCTATCAATTACTCTAGATACAATAAAAGTAAAGCATGATACACAAAATAAATCAAATTAATTGTTAAATCATGCTCCTGCAAGTTCACTTAAATGTTTAAAATGCCGATCATATTCAATTTTAATTTAAGGTCAAGATTTTTTTGCCAAATTACTTACATTGCCAAACTACATTAATTTACAATGTCTTTGTCATTATATAAATAAAAGAGTTACGAAAAAGTATTTAGAATATTCCTACGTACGTACCTATGTACGTACGTAGGAATATTCTAAATAAGTTACGGATTGCATGCAAAATAAGCGCCTGAATTTAGAGTATGCAGAGCCCTTGGCTAACTATGAACACCGTGCAAGACCAACTAGATCACATCATCACATTATTATCAAAGAATCGCGGGTATTCCCCGCTATTCAAAATCGATAGCATGCTGAATAGACAGGGGACAAAAAAGTGAACTGTGATTTATCATTCGTACTCGTACGTAGATTTGTACGATTTTTGCGTACGTTAGGTTAGGGTTGCTAGGTAGGTAGGTTAGACGCTATTTAACAGTAAATCTAGTATTTTTTTTTATTATTATGTAGGGAATAGAATCTATTTATAATAAAATAATTACTAGATTTACTGTTAAATAGGCGAAATAGCGTCTTTATGCATAGTCTGAAAACAGTTTATTGGCAACAATGCGTGAGTAAGTAGTAACCCTAACCTACGTACGATAAAATCGAATGATAAATCACCGGTCTTTCACAGTTCACTGTGATTTTGTCCCATGTATATTCAGCATGCTATCGATTTTGAAAAACGGGGAATACCCGCGATGCCTAATACTGAACAACAACAACCAACAAACGCAGGGTAGGATCTAAATAGATAGGCAGAAGATATAGTATAGGTGAGAAAAACATCTTAGGCCAGTTACTATTCCAAAAACAGGTAGATAAAGCATAGCAATCGTACAAACAAAACTTCATTTACAGGGTTATTCCGAATACCCTAAAATGAAAACTTATAGAGGCAATATGTCATTAAAGCGTCGTTAGAATTTAAAGCGTTCAGACCTTATCACTCACTAAGTAGCAAAAGCATCGTTTTGGATTTTCCCAAAGGCTTATGGAGCCATAGCACACTGGATATACTAAAATTTAAGGGTGCCCCGAATATGCAGCTGTCCAAAACTATGGAATATTCTACGTAGGGACGAATCCTGGCAGGCTGAAATGGGATTAGGACTCACGTTAGCTGGATGAAAATGATCGCTGGGGGAAATTGGTACGATTATCGTGACGATACAGTAAGGGCTGGCAAAGGACAAAATGTAAAGAATAATTTCGGGGAGGTCTTTGTTTATTCTAATATAACTTCTATATATCTTAAAGCTGTAAGGTAACCTAGACTATAAAAAATATTTAGATAAATAGCTCACATTCTACTTTAAATTACAATATCAAATAAAATGAGAAATGTCTGTGGTGAACGGCTATTGTGAATTTCTTTAGAGAAGATTGATCGACGACCCGATGGCGTAGTGGTTCGTGTAACGGACTGCTATTCCAAAGGTCGCGGGTTCGATTCCCGCTCAAGTTAAACATTTGTGTGCATGAACATTTAATGTTTGATTTGGTCTGGGTGTTTCTATGTATAATATGTATGTATTTACAAAAAAAAAAGTATATATGTATTTATATCAGTTGTCTAGTACCCATAGTACAAGCTCTGCTTAGTTTGGGACTAGATAGCGTTGTGTGAATGTGGAACAATATAAAAAAAAAAAAAAAAGATGTTTGTGGCAGTAACGTATTATAACTGGTAAGCTATATTAACGACCTATACCGACCTATATAAAAACGATTTGACCGAAAACAACTTTGGAATTTGCAGTAGCCTTCAATACAGGTACATACATACACATGTGGTAAAATTATACCAATCATATTCACTACTCTGAAATAATAAAGTGTAAATGTATTTTGGCACTGTACTGGCATTGGACATTACAACATTTTTAAAATGCATATTACATAGAAGTGCAGAAGAGTGAACTACGAAAAATCACAAATGATAATTAAACACACCTTCCGTACACACGACCGCACATCCTACTCTGGGAGGAATCAGATCATGTTATTTCAGGTCCTAACCTATCACCAGACCTAGTATCAACTTTCATATTCTGTTTGTTTCGAAGAGGAAATGTAAGATTTTCTAGATTCTTCGAATAATTATTTTATGCTAGCAGAAGCGCAAGGCAAAACCGTTTATTGCAGAAGAAAATTATCACCAAACTGGTCAAATTAATAATAGACGTTGACTTTCTAAAACTATCTGTATCACCATTGTCATATCGGGCAAAACTAATTTTATTTTCTAATAATTATATTAAACATGTTTTTTAAGAAAGATTAAAAATATAATTATTTTATATTAAAATTTCAATTTCGGTTTTGATCATTTTTGCACAACTTATTCTAAATACAAGCTGCCTGCCAATAGATTCACTCCAAATAAGCCCTGATCCCACTGTTGAGAATGTTAGACTCACATTTGATGTCGCATTTTTGTTATTTCTTGGGTTTTTCGAACCGCGGTTGAGTAGTGGTGAGTTTTTCCTCTTCAACTACCATTCACATAACACGTTACCTTTTCAAAACCGGTCGGAACAGTTTGTATGAATTTATTTACTACACTTGAATGGTTGCCAATAGTATTAGTGATCCGAAATAGAATATAAAAAAACCAGTACTAGACGTGGGTTCAGAATAATCTGTGTGTGAAATCGTACGCAGACAAAACCATTAGATAGACCTGTCGACAACGAAATGTTAATGAAAATGAAATGTAAATTTAAACGTTTAGTATGTTAAATACTAAACATTTTTATTTTTTTATGCCTCTTTCTTTTACATATTTTTATAGATTGATACGATATTAATTCATAAAATGCGACATAAAACACCTATGATATTGTATATTTCATCAAAGTAGAATAGCAACGGAATTCAGCTAAAGATTAGCTGATCCGGCATCGCCTTCTCTTGCAAATAGTTATTCTGTTTTCAGTGGGTCTCTATATTTATTTTTACAAATATGGCTCCTTATGACTTTAACTGCTTTTGCGAGTCGAGTGAAAATAGGTCCATCAGTTTCAGATATTAGCCGGAATAACCACACAGGAAGATAGGCAAAAATACTATTTTTTTGTATAAGTACCGTGGAAACATTCAGATGCATTTAGTAAAAATCTATTATTATGATGTTACAAATAGACAATCTTATTTTATTTAGTTAAATGTGTGTATAGTGATAAAATAGTGTCATTTATGTTAAAAAACTATGAAAGCCAATTCTACCTATATAATGTACCTACGTGTATACCTACTATGATAAGTGGCAAGTTGTATAGTTGATAAAAAGTGCAGTTTACAGAACCTGTTATTATTTCTGCACGTTGTGTAATTACGTTGTTAAAACGTTGTTAATTATTAATATAAGGATAGTGGTATCAACACGCGGGGAATAACTAAAATATCTACTCAGTGCTGGGTATTTACCTTATTTCTGAACGTAGTACGAGTATCTATGAAATATTTTTGGTACATTATCTAAGTATGTACTTTGGTTTATACTTTTTTTTATCGCATAGTAGAGCAAACCGCCGACCATGGCCTCCTGCAACGCAACAATCACAAATGCATTGCCGCCATTTAAGTCCTCCACCCAGAAACAGGTGCAGGAGGACTTTGAGCTGGAGTAGCCTGATGACTCACTTGATTAAAAGCGATGAAAGAATTGCTTAACGCCGGTTTTTTTTTTGTGGCCGTGGTATCACTCCGGTCGAACCGCCCCATAAATATACAGTTACATCTATACAAACAAATAAAATAGAAGTGTCTGTTAGTAATGACAAAAAAATATGTTTTACATGCTCAATTTTTATTATACGTTACTGCACGTTATTTGCACAATACCTATGCTTAAAAACCAGTTTAAATATTTTTTGTCTGTCTGTCTATCTGTCTGTTTGTTCCGGGTAATCTTCTAAACGTCTGGACCGATTTTGATAATATTTCACTACCAGGTAGCTGTCTATAAAAGGAGTAAATTTTTCCTCTCAGAAAACCCCTATATAATTTTGCCCGGTCCGGGAATCGAACCCGAGGCTTTATGGACTGCAGTCGCGTATAGTATATATAGTATGTATAGTAGTATATATAGTATAGTAGTCTAGTACTTTTCAAATTACAAGCGAACGAATATTTATCTCAAAATATACGTATATATGTATACGTAAGGGAATTAACGTGATTGAATCCCTTTGAATTGAATGGTATTATTGGGTATTGCATACATATCCCACTGTTGAGTCCCACTTTTCCAAGTAACCTTACGCGATTGCGTAAATCCCGTATATTTTAAAATAATTACCTATGTGTATACCATGGAATGAAAATCTCTGACGTTCCTTATAATCTTTACAATATTAGTCGAATGCCGAGACGCATGTCCTCAAGACTTTTTGTTTTATTGAAAATTAAGTATTTAAAGTACGTTTAGTGGTGATTTTTACGAAAAATATGACATTCGCCTGTCATTATGAGCCTGTAGCAAAACTACCGCAGTTTGGCAATACCAACAAAAATGGGTTCTTCTGATTGTAATTGTAGTGAACAAAATAACGAAAATATTTTTGTTAAGTTACGTCTCCTCATTATTTTAATTCTGATTATTTATTATTCCAATGAGGTTACGGATTACTCATGATTAATATATGAAAAGAGGTAACAACTGTTCAATTAGATCAATATGTTAAAATCAGTGGTCCCTATTGTTATAATTGTGTAAAACCTAGCCTAGAACTTTTCAAAACCTACTGAATTCTGTGTACATTTCCTTGCTTGCTTCCCGAGCCGTGTAACATAGCTGTTTGATGATTTGTTTAAGAAATATCTGCACTCTGTTATCTCACGAAGTTCAAGGCCTAAAAAATATATTAAAGTTATTGAAAATTTGTGCATGTAAAATCTATCAGTCACAAATAAATACTTGTTTGGAACAAAAATGCTAACACCCACATAAAAGCCGTCATAATAATCCGGAATTCACAGATTATAATTTAAGCGGGAATTTACCACGCTGGTAAAAGCTTCAACATTATTTCCTTATAGACTAACACCTGCATAGGCCTATGTTGTTATAACAACATGTAAACAAAATTCACGTTAAGTTGAAAAGAAAACTTAACTTCTAAACAAATAAAAAAGTGGTAGTAAGTATATATTAATATTAAAAGAAAATCATAAAATCCAATTTAAAAAAGGAACTATAAATATAAAATATCCCAAAAATACCTTTTCAAATAATTGTCTCCAGTAATCTGTCTGCTCCAGACCGTTCATCAAAACTACCATCTCTCTCTGTTCTGTAGCCATTTTCACTCAAAAACATTACACGTAACTTAGAATAAATAATTGAAAACAATCCGGTTTTCACAAACACAACAGAAATATAAGGAAAAAGTCTAATTTATTTGTTGTCTAAGACAGTCTTTTTAAACCTGATACACCGCTCAAAATATTTTGTTACATATGTATTTCTTTGAAATTATAATAGAACAATCTTTAAAATACTATTGTGGGAACAGCACTTTTCTACTCTGTCGTCGTCGTAAACACGACATACACTTGTGTAGGACAGCTATGAACTGACTGACCAAAACATATACAGTGCCAAGTAAGCGCTAGCGACTGCGGCGTCCACGCGTCCCTCAAATTTTAAAATTAATTACATAGCGCATAGTTGACGTTAATATATTTTGCTTAAGAAACAATAAATGGCCTCGAGCTTGTCTTGTAGATAATTTTTTACAACACTAGAATGATTACGACATATTATTATTATATTTTACTAACGCTATTTCATACATGAAACCTTACTATGAATGTTTATTTATTTAAACTTTTTGCACATTACAAAGGAATTTGAATATTTATCAGTATTCTCAAACGAAAATATCTATTGACTTCTTTTATCCCTTAACAATTTGCATGGGTTTATAAAATTGTTGTTTTCACTATTTTTGTCGCAATTTTTCCATATTTTCTTACCGTTTAAACTTGGACTCCCACAAATATTCCAAAACAAAAATTTGCCAAATCGATCCAGATGTTTTCGGGTTTTGGTGCGACTAACGAATAGCAATGCATTTTATATACTTACAGATAAAGATTAGAATACCGCTGAAATATTAGGTTCTTCCTTTTTTTCTGTGCGGAAATCCTCTCGGATACCACCCACCGGTGGGGTGGTTACGTCGGACTTGAACCGATTAAAAACCGCACGCCGGGTACCAGTAGCCGGAGAATCAGGTGTACCCTAGAAAGGATGTCAATACATATACACTTCCCTTCGCGGCACCGTGCGACTAACGTGTGACTTCATGTGCTAACAATTGAAATATTGTTTTCTGTTTTTTCTGCGACTAGTTTCCGGCTTGCGGGCGGCTAAAGGTTGTGTATAGTGTTTTAAAGAAAGTCAGTAAGTTTTTATGGTTTTTAAACAGTAATATAGTGCTGAATTATTTTATTACGACTATTGGTGAGTAAATTTATTTTCTTTCTAAAAGTGGGTAGGAGGTATCCTTTGTTTATATTGATTTTTCTCTGCGTGTTATTTATTTTTAAACCTGTTCCTTTTGAAATTGTTGTTTGGTGTGTCTTTGTTTGGCTATGTCGGTCGTTAGCGAGTTGCCGGACCCGGCGGTACAAGTGAATTTCTAACACCAACCGGGAAAAGGACATTTATTGAAATGTCACCTACGGATTTCTCGCCGAAAGACAGTAGCCGTAGGCGCGTTATTAATTCGGACTTAAGTGGTAATGTTTCGTCTCCTACCGGTCGTGATAACTGTGGCGAGTACAACTACTGTGACTTTGTTGTTGTTATCCGTCGGTCGCGGTGTGCAGACGTGTAGCGAAGTGTCAAGTGAACTGTGATAAAAATCCTTCTCGAAAATTTGTGATTGGTCTATTAGGCGGAACACAATTCCCGTTCTAACTTAAAGTGCTTTTACGGATTAGCTCCTCCCCCGGAGCAGGATAGATATAATTGTCATCATTACCACGAAATAAATTTTAAAAACTCTGTCGTGACTGGCTGTATATCTGAAGTCGTCGTGGGGATCCGAACCGCCTAACGAACTCGCCCGTCGGGAGTGGTGAAAACACAACGAGCCACAGCCACAGTGTTGAGCAGCTGCGAAATAGGTGAATGGTAACTGTGCATGCGCTACGACGGGTCGTGCGAGTGACGTCGGCAGGCTACGAGCCGGTAATAGCTAGGCTACGCGCTACGGGCGGTGTGTTTGTGACGCGCTGTGCCAGTGACTTTAGAACGGTGTAGTGCGTGTGCGTTATTGACTACACATAAACAAGCATGTCAAAATGCAAAGGATGCGGTAAATACATAGCACAAAAAGACATTACTAAATGTTCTAAATGTCAGAACTATTACCATCGCACATGTGCGCTCGCGGCTACACCAGGGGTTAAATCTGTCTCGCCAAAATGGATATGCGCGGGCTGCAATGTTGTCTTAGCAACCCCGCCAGCTGTGGCGGAGGCATGTGTGTCACCGCAGCCGAGTAATTCACACGGCGCCACGGCAAGTAACAACTTGCCTAGGGATTGCAACCCGGCACAAACAGTGGATGTAAGCTTAATACTTAAAGAGATTCGTATCTTTCGTGAAGAGATTAATGCTTTGATATCGGAATTGCGTGAGTTTAGAGAAGAGATGTTAAGCCTTCAAGCAGATAATAAGATGTGCAACGATAGAGTGGATTTACTGGAGAAGAGAGTTGGTGCCTTAGAGGAGAAATCGGATCAACATTTGTATCCCGACCTCACAACATTAGAGACAACCGTACGCGATTTAAAACTTAAACTGAATGAGCGTGAACAGGAATCCTTGTTAAACGACATAGAGGTTTCTGGGGTACCCGAATCGAATGGTGAAAACGCAAAGCAAATTATAAATATGATTTCCATCAAACTCGGCATTAAGTTGGAGGAACAGGACGTGGTATACGCCAAACGGGCAGGAAACGGACGTCGTAATTATGAGGAAAGCGAAGAAAAGGCGCCTCGGCCGCGCGTCATTGTCGTCCGCCTTACGCGACGTGAAACGCGCGAAGAGCTTCTGCGCAGCGCTCGGGTACGACGTGGCTTGACCACGAAGGATATACAGTTAGCTGGGACTCCACGCCGAGTTTATATAAACGAGCGTTTAACGCAAGTTAATAGAAAACTATTTCACAAGGCTCGAGAGGCTGCTATGCACCATAACTATAGGTACACCTGGACCAAAGAGGGCTGTATATTAACTCGGAAAGAAGACGGAAAACCCGCGAAACGTATACGATCCGAGGATGATATTTTTCAGATTTTTGGATGACTTACAGTTTGTGCCGAGTTAATTTAATTAAGATAGTTGAGTGTCAAATGTTATATAGGTATGTTGTTATTATTTTAATTTTTATATTGGAAACTGATTACTGCTTATACACACTATCAAGAACTTTACATTATAGCTTTAACTTTTGTAAAATACTCATCTTCTACTATGTTTATATACTGTCTTGTTTTATCTTTTTAATTTATGTACGTGCTTGTTTATGTGGATTACGTGAAATAGTTCCTAGGCTTATGCTATCTATCCTATTTAAACATAAAAGCGCAGCACAAGGGTGTACTCTGTACATGAATAGTTTTCCTGACCTGTTCAAGTTAATAAAAACTATATATACTACTATATTTTTCTATACACGTAGATCAAATCTATCTAGCATATTATATTTATATTTATGTACATCTGGTACAGTTATAAGAAATACTATATTACACAAAATAGACATGCATTGTTACAAATCGCGCTTGGCCTATATCATGTATGCACTGTATTATATCCGAATGTACTCACCCGCTAATAAAAGCTGTTGGACATATAATATCAAGATTTTAACAATTACAGTAATAGTGATGTCTTTGCATGTTTTTGATGGCTCCTAAGTATCTAAGAGTTGGTCATTTTAATGCGGGTTCATTGGGTACAAGACATGAGGAGCTTATGGAAGTGGTAGAGAGACATAAAATAGATTTTATTTCTATCAACGAGACGTGGTTGAGAGAGGGTGAGGATTGGAAAGCACCCGCATTGCCTGGTTACATTTTAAAGCACATCCCCCGTTCGGCAACAGTCAAGCGTGGTAGAGGCGGTGGGATCGGCTTTTATATCAAGCGGGAAGTTACTGCTCGCAGACACTCACACCCCGTGGACTCATTACACTCCTCAGTGGAGCAAATGTGGTTTACTACCAGCGTGAATGGAATTAAACTAGCTATAGGAACTGCATACCGACCTCCCTGGCTGGATGTAGACCTGTTTCTGGACGCTCTCACGTTTTCTGTGAACTCTCTGGCTCATTGCGACGGAATGGTACTGATGGGTGATTTTAATATTAACATGTTAAATGAATCCGACGCTAAGACCGACAAACTGAAAACATTCTTAAGCTATCTAAGTTTAAAACAAATAATAGATACGCCTACGCATTTCACACTTAATAGCAAGACACTGATAGATGTTGTTTGCACTGATGTAGAGGTTCAGTCGTTTTCGGTGGAGTACATTCCCGACCTTGGGGCCCACGCATTCTTGATCTGCGATCTCCATATAAAAATGGATAAAGCAGCGCCACAAACTATATCGTTTCGCCCATTAAAAAGCATATGTAGGAAAAACTTTGACGAAGACATCTCGCGTCTTGATTGGCACAGTATAACAAGACTGTCAAGCGTGAATGAAATGGTGACATGTTTTAATGCTAATATCAATACTTTATTTGACTATCATGCACCCAAAACTACAAGAAAAATCAAGGAGCGGTCGCATCCATGGGTTACTGACAATATAAAATATATGATGGTTTTAAGAAACAATGCACATAATCAATTTTTAAAACATAAAACAGAGAGTAAAAAACAATATTATAAACAACTTAAATCACTTGTAACAGAATCGCTGCATAATGAAAAAATAGCCTACTACAAAAACAATGTAACAAAAAAAATAAATGACCCTAGGACTTTATGGAAAAGCTTGAAATTAACTTTAGTACCACCAAAAAGCAACATGTACCTACCGTCACACTTTAATGACCCAGATAAAATATGCGACTTCTTCATGAATGTCCCGGGGAAGGAAGTAGTTAATATATCTGACCTTATGTCCTACGAGTATTCGCGCTTTAGTGAAGCAACATTTACACTGGAATCGGTTCCATGGACCTCGGTCGCTAAAACCCTCCAAGGTCTTAAGTCCAACGCTGAAGGTAATGACGGGATTAGTTTAGATATGGTGCTCCTCACTATGCCACTGGCGATAGAGGCTGTTACCAGCATCGTCAATAAATCTATTCAAACATCTTCTTATCCGGAACTGTGGAAAACCGCTGTAATACGCCCACTACCAAAAAATAGCTCACCAACGGATATGAAAGATTTGCGACCGATTAGTATACTTCCCGTTCTTTCAAAGGTGTTGGAGAAAATCGTTAGTTCCCAGCTCGTAAAGTATTTAGAGAAAAATAACATTCTCCCTGATACGCAATCAGGTTTTAGAAAAGCTCGTAGTACAACCACTACCTTATTGGCAGTGACGGACGATATCCTGTCAGCACAGGACGCCGGCATGTGTACGCTGCTGGTGTTATTGGACTACTCTCGCGCCTTTGACTCCATCAATGTTCCACTGCTGCTGTCGAAGATGGCTTACTACGGCTTTGACGGGGGAGCTATTAAATGGTTTGATAGCTACTTAGGTGGTCGCTCTCAATACGTTGAGATCAAGCAAATAAATGGAAACACAATATGCTCTAGCTCGAGATCTGTAACTAGAGGCGTGCCCCAGGGATCAATATTGGGACCTATTTTATTTATTATGTACTGTTCCGATGTGGGTCGGCAGCTGCGTCATTGCAAGTACCATATGTATGCAGATGATACACAGGTCTATATATCGTTCAAGCCCCCGGACTACGAAACAGCACTTCAAAAATTAAACGAAGATCTAAATAGAATTGTCGATTGGTCTGCTCGCAATTCTCTTGTGCTCAATCCGCTGAAAACAAAATATATGCTGTTTGGCACCAAATCCCAGCTAGGTGCCATCCCACGAAAAACACGTCCTGTTGAAGTAATGGGCGTGCCGATTGAGCGAGTTTATGAAGTTCGTAACTTGGGGATAATAATGGACGCTGACTTGAGGTTTGAGAACCACATCTCGAGAGCTGTTCGTGACTGTTTCTATAAACTAAAGGTCTTGTACAGGGCGCGGCCATTTATAGGTGAAGAGCTGCGAATACTTTTGGTGGAGAGCCTCGTCTTATCTCGACTAAACTATGCAGACACTGTATACGGTCCTCGACTCTTTTCTAGAACAGAACGCCTGATACAAAGACTTCAAAACGCTTGTGCCAGGTTCTGTTTTACCGTACCCAGAAGGGGTCATGTCACCCCTTTTTTTAATAAGCGCAACATTTTAAAAATGCATGCGCGTCGAAGGCTTCATATGGCAAGTCTCCTATTTGGCGTAATTAACTTCCGTACACCGTCCTATTTATTTAACAAGTTGAAGTGGACATTTAGGCACAACCAAAATATGAGTAGAGAATGCTCATCGCAGCTTTCAATACCTCATCATAGGACAACTGCCTTTAAGGGTAGTTTTCGTTACTCTGCGTCGAAATGCTGGAATAATATCCCTCCTCCAATAAAAAGAAGACCAAGTGCGTATTCTTTCAAAACGAAATTGAAGGAATTCTTACTGGAGCATCAGAAGGATTTCGAAGACGTCAGAGTAACTCTTAGCGTGATATAAAATGGAGTGCGTGCCATGACCTTGGATGCCGTGCTGTGCCGTATCTCACCTTATTTTATTAACAACCAGAAATTATTATATCTTTACTATCATGGTCATAATGTCTTAATTCAATCAAATTGTTATCCAATTAGTACTCATTATATATTTAAATGTTTTCCTATTAATCAAGTTATTATGCAATCACTATCGTTCTCGGAATATTCTCAAACCAATATCTCTTTACAGCATGCTATACTAGACTATCATAATGATCGAATATTTATTCTATCTAACAGACACGCGGACAACACCCCTGGGCTGCGCTGAAAACCAGCGCTAGGTGCATTGCGCCTAGCATTATGCTGAGTCGTGGTCCATATTGGTACAGATGTATTAAATATGTAACTTGTAAATATGTAACAATCCAAAATGTGCCAATTAAAGTATTTTTCTTCTTTCTTCTTCTTCTTCTTCTTAGTATCACAGGCCACTGATTATTTGGCAAAAATTAATGAATTAGTTAATGATCAGGGATCTCGGATGAATGTAGGTAACAAAACGGCGATTATGGATATTACTCAACGAATTACCGGTATCGTATCTTTGTTAGCAATAAAATCCTCTAGCAACGAAACGAAGTTAGCGAATTTTGAGCGACAAATGGAGGGTATCGCAACTCAACAAACGAGTTTAACGTACGCGGACAAACTTAAGCTTCGATTACCACCTAAATCTGCTCCGTGCCCGGTACCTACTGAAGCGCGCGTTCCTAGGCCTTGTGTTATTGCCTATCCCACTACGGAACGCTTAGCGGACTATGCGACCTCGTCAGCAACAAAACAAGCTCTCATGAAGGCTATTAAACCGAGCGATGAGGGATTTCAAATTGTAGGCGTTAAAAAAACCTCTAACCGCCTGGCCACAGCCAAGAGCGGTGCGGATTGCGGCGCGTCGTGAGGCGCGGTAAGCGGTGAGCGGCGAAAACAAATGGTAAACAACCTATGAAGTATGCCACAGCTACCGGCGACGCGCACTGCGGCGCGACTTGCGGCGCTGCAAGAGGCGCGTGGCACGCGGCGGCGATGAGCTGCGCGATGTGCGAGTGAAACAAATGTACTAGCCAATATCGAGGTAGCCACAGCTCAGAGCGGCGCGCGCGGCGGCATCGGTGGACGCTTTGAGGCATCGCGCAACCGAAACAAATAATTTTGTTTTTATCGCGCGTTGAGCCAATAAAATAAATAATGGATATGGAACAATTCATTAGTTAGTTTCTATGCTTGCCCGCGTATATTCAAAAAATTTATCGGGATAGTTCCTATATTCATAATAAAGAGTGTGAAATTTGCCAAGTTCTCTCCTTTTCTGGTTAACTGGGTGCGCTCCTATTCTTGACTGAACGATATCTTCAGCTAAGAACGCACTTGTTTCATAGCAATATCGAGCCACTTATGATAGGGGTATTTAATGGTTTATCCGTTCTCTAAATACGTGCACCGTTGACGCCGCCGCGGTCACAACTAGTCTAGCTGTGGCATACCACCGCAAATCACGCCGCCCGCCGCGCCTCCCAACGCACCGCGCAACGCACCGCCAGAAACTGTGGCCAGACCGTAAGGCAGGCGTCGTGTTACGTGTAGCTAACGAACGGCAGCTTAAGAAACTGGAATCTGTGGACGCCATTAAATCAGTAGGGTTGCGCTTAGAAAAACCGAAAGGCCGTAGGCCCCGTATAATTGTAAAAGACGTACCCGGTTCTATGGAAGATCGTGCCTTCCTAACAGCCTTATACCGTCAGAATATCAAGGACGAATTAAAATTAAGTGAGAACGATTTTATTAAGTCAACCAAAATTGTTAGGCATCGTAAACTAGAAAATGGGCGTCAATGGATAGGCTTAGAGTTAGAGGCAGCAGTTCGGAAACATCTAGCCAACACAAAAGATAAACTTTATATAGACTGGGCCACATGTAGATTCATAGATGATATAGAAGTAGTTCGTTGCTTAAATTGTCAGCAATTCGGTCATGTACAAAAGTTTTGCACCATTAAAACCCCTACTTGTGCTAATTGCGCCGCCGCACACGAAACGCGAGCTTGTCCAGATAAAGACACACCAGATTTTAAGCCCACGTGCGCACAGTGTAAG